TTGGGGTAATTTTGGAGCCTTTTTCTGAAAGAAACCATGGGCTATAGCCTTGGGTATTTTTCAGAATTTTGATGTTTTCTTAAAATGGCCGTAACTTGAAAAATTTAAGTCGGAATCACCTCAAACTTGCTACATAGCATAAGGACATCAATATCTATCAGAAAATGTAATAAAAATTTGGGGTGATTTCGGAGCCATTTTTTGGAAAAAACCATGGGCTATAGCCTTGGGTATTTTTCAGAATTTTGGTGTTTTCTTAAAATGGCCGTAACTTGAAAAATTTAAGTCGGAATCAGCTCAAACTTTCTACACAGCATAGGGGCATCAATATGTATCAAAAAATGTAATAAAAATTTGATGTGATTTTGGAGCCATTTTTTGGAAAAAACCATGCGGCCTCTGATGCCCACATTGGTATTTCTTAGATTTATTCCTTTTTTAAAATTTTTATTCTATTATTATTATTATCATTATCATTATTATTATCAATATTATTATTACTATTACTATTATTATTATTATTATTATTATTATTATTATTATTACTATTATTATTATTATTATTATTTTTCCTTATCACTTTGTGTATCTTTCTTTACCTTAACCAATCTTTAACCTGTTCTTTGTTTTCTTCCTTATATTCCTTTCCTTAACCTACATGTTTATTTCTACTCTTTTTCATAATAAATTTTTTGAGGGCTCTGTTCCCTTTTCAACTGGGCTATAGCCTTGGGTATTTTTCAGAATTTTGCCGTTTTCTTAAAATGGCCGTAACTTGAAAAATTTAAGTCGGAATCAGCTCAAACTTTCTACACAGCATAGGGGCATCAATATGTATCAAAAAATGTAATAAAAATTTGATGTGATTTTGGAGCCATTTTTTGGAAAAAACCATGGGCTATAGCCTTGGGTATTTTTCAGAATTTTGCCATTTTTTAAAAATGGCTGTAACTTGAAAAATTGAAGTCAGAATCAGCTCAAACTTTCTGCATAGCTAGGCCATAAGGATGTCAATACTTACAGGTTATTTTTAAAGGATTATAGGTTTTATGACTCCAAAATTTATGTCAGTATTAGCTCAAACTTTTATGTGATACAAAGGCCTACTGTGGTCATTAGGGAGATCCCTCTCATGTAGTGTGCATTAGGTGGTCAATTGTTGGTTATTGCAGCTGCTTCTACTAATGGAGGGATATTGTACAAGTGCCTCAGAGCCATCCATACTATATTTAGTCACTTGGAAATTCTATTTTTAGTAACGTTTAATTACTGCTACATGTACTGTAGGTATTGCCTCCATTGGGTACTGTGGTACAAAGACCAGATGAAGGAGACAGTTTAAAAAGCAAGTGAGTTATGATGTCGTGTGATGTCAGATGATGTCATGATTTGGTGCAGGATAGTTAGACTGATGACTGCTGCCAGTCCTTTTGTTGCAGCTGAAGAAGTTTCCGCCGAATTCCTTTTCGTACTTTGCAAAGAAAATGGCAAGTAATTCAGACCACACCCAATGCCCTTATAACCACGCCCCTTTTAGTATCCCGACTGGTGAAGTACACAGGCTATGGGAGAGCAGCTGGTCTATTGATGTCACGTGGGTTACTGGGAGGGGGGACGTCTCCCGGCCAATCAAATTACTCGAGTGACGAGGAAGATTCTGACACTGAAGAATACATGCAATCCAAGTACTTAAGCAGCAAACTATTAATAGTACCGAGTGCTATTTATAGCCTATTAAGATTACTTAATGCTAGTTATAGTACTTTAACCTATTAATAGTACAGTATAGAAACACTTAATGCAATTATTATTATATAGAGTGAACGGTTTTCCTTTTTAGGTTGGACATGATGACAGGTGGACCTGCTAAAGATGGAGCCTCAGCTCTTGAAGGAATGACTGACGAAGAGAAGGAGAAAGAAGCAAGAGAGCTTCATGATCTTATACAAAAATTAAACGAGTCAGTGTTACTATTTTTGTCAATGCATACTGCA